GGGGGAGGGCACATCGTAGAATTTTGTTAAATAATATACAATATAATAAATATATTTATTGTGTTCTGAATGTATGACAGTATACAATACGATTGTTTTAATAATTACATAATTCGAATATAAGTAAATATTTAAATAAATTTTGCCAAATAAAGGAAAGTAAACGAAAACTTTAGACCTTTCGGAGCGGTCATGCCCCTCCTGGATCCGCCAGTGGTTGGGTCAATTAGATTTTTAAGTATAGGTACGTTAGGGCGGCTGTGTAATGTAGAAGGAAGAAGTAATGTAGAAGGTTTTTAAAAATAAAGGGGATGCGAATTGCCCACAAAATTATCGCGGAATTAGTCTTTGCAGGACTGAGCAAACTTGTTCTGGTAAAATACTCAACGGGCGACTGGACTGAATGGGCGAAAGTACGGTAAAAATATCGAATGCAAGCACGGCTTTAGGAGAGGCTACGCGACAACCGTACAATATATTTGTTTAGATACCCTAGTAAACACAGGGCTGGCCGCGTAAAACGGGCCACGTATATTGCAGTTTTTGTAGATTTCGAAAGGCTTTTGACGCTATTAATCGGGATGCTTTATGGTCGAAAAACTTAAATGAGCTAGGCGTCTCACGATAAAGTTTTAAAGCGTATTGCAGAGTATGTATAAGGAAGTAAAATTTCTGCGTGAGGTGCGGTGACGAAGTTATAACGCAAAAATAAAATCGACAATAAGAGTAAGACAGGGTGTTCCTCTTTCACGCTGCTGTTTATCTTGTTTATTAACGATTTTATTACGTGGGTACAGGAAGCTGGATACAGCGCCCCGATAATTGATGCTTGAAATCCCGGACTTACTATATGCTGATGATTTAAGTCTTATGTTCGAGACGATGGAGGGGCTACAGAAGAGTTAGAATATTCTAGAAACGGTATAGTGAGACATGGGACTAAAGCTAAACATTCAAAAAACGAAAGTAGTAGTCTTCAAAATGGGTTCATCGGGGTAAGCAAAGAGAAATGGTACTACAGCTAGAGAAATTGACCGCGTCAAAACATTCACATATCTTGGTTGCAAATTTTTCCATGAATGGGGAGTGGAATGAATCACATACTGACGGTCACAGCAAAGAAGGAGATTGCGCTTAAAAAATCGTATTGCGCAGTTGCGCAGGGTTCCCGGAAATTGCCGGTAAAAAGTATAGCGATACAATGTTTTCAACATCGTTAGTTTCTCCCAGCTAAACTATTGGGGCAGAAATCTGGGGAGTGGATAGGATGATCGCAACTAGAAAGTATCTGAAACAGATTATTTCAAATTAATTCTAGTAGTTTCTAGATGCCGCAGCCAAATTGCCGGAGTCTTAAGAGAGTCGAAGATATAGGAAATTTGGAGAGATTTAAATGAAAATCTATTAACTTTGGATAAAATTAGCAGGATAACAGGCATGACACACTCATACATAGGCGCTTTAAGATGCAATGGCAGGGAAGCGCACCCGCTACTGGCGTACAAAGTTAACGGCTATTGACCGGCAGGGGTTTGGAGACGTCTCTTCCGGATATGGTGGAGAATGGGAACCCGTGAAATAGAACGGCTATTCCAATAGACTCTGCGGATTTAAAAAAGGCAAGAGATCTGGGCAGCACGGCTGAAAAACGTTCGCTAGTAGCTCAAATTCATGAGAGTCGTTATGGGGTTGCGAAGGTTACGTTTACTCTCGGAAAAGACGCTAGAGGGGAATACGCTGGTTCAGGGTGGGGGATGGATGCGCGTAGACTAAGACGCAAGTGGTAATGGCATCTGTGTGCTTGCGGTATAGGGAAGACTGGATCCACATACTCTTAATTTGCTGTGAACCGAAACATGGAAAAAAAATGATGGGATGGGAAAATTACACTTTCTAAACAGGAACGTTAAACGCTCGCCCAAAACAGTTTTAGTGATAAAAGTTAAATCATGATAGAATTAGGAACATTTTTAGGAAAGGTTCGGACCATTAGGGAAAACTGAAATTAAGGAGTGGGAAAACAGCACCGTTAGCTTGAGCAGCCTAGACTGAGAGAATATAATAAGTAATAAGCTAAACAATAAGTAAGTTAATCAGTAATTTTATGTATGTAAGTAAACAGCTTAAGAAATAAGTCATAAGTCATAGTTAATTGGTAAAGTAAAAATGTTAATAAATAATAAAATAAACTGGCATAGTAATAAAGCACATTAGGGGGAGGTAAGGGGGATCGAAAACTTATAAGGGCAGAGGCGTTGGTGCGGACGATCTTCTTGGCGCTGTTTGATTCAGGTGCTGAGGACCATGCACTGGAAGGAGACGGTGGACGCCCGCGCAGAAAATAATTATAGCTAAAATAAACGTCGGATAGATTAGAAATGTACTCGGCTTCTGACGCAGGTTTTTCTCCCCTTCAGGGTTTTTTTCCTGACGTACCCTTATGGTCTCTTTTCGCGGCTTTGATGCGATGGAGATGACGCATTTGGGGGTGAATACTAGATTCGAAGATTAGAAGCGAAAGGATGTAGGTAATTTTTATGGCTTAAAGGCCTTCGCCTAGCCACATAGGATCAAGTAAGCTAATTTTGTCTGTAATAATTACCTATTAAATAAAAAATAAAAAAATAGAAGTAAGGCGCGCGGAGAATTAACTGGGAGAATTTGAGTTCGAGTCTCGGCGGGGGAATGATTTTTGCTGTTTAAATACCTTATGAAGTTTCATGTAGTAGTATAAAATTGAGGAGCAGTTACAAATAATGCGAGAAAGTTTGTTGTTGTTGAACCTGTAGTTTATATATCTCTCAAGTCGTTAATATTTACATTATGGGCGTTTTATACATTATTGTTTTTTAGTACAAGTCAAACGATTCATGAAATTTATCGAAAACTCAAATTTTTACTTTTCAGCGTTGCCTGGGGCCCAAAATTATCTAGCTCCAGCACTGTGTACCCTTATTCGTTTCATCCAAAATGATCCTTCCATCGTCGTACATACGATTTTATCCAAACTGCGGGTTAATGTGAAAATTAACTGGCTAAATCGTGAATTAGCCACTATTCGGGCTTCAGCTATACGGTTATCAAAATGAATGCAAATATTGACGAATCCCCTTGGTCTCAAATCCATTAAATTTTATAATATAGTGTGGAAAATGAAGAAAGGCGTATTTATTTACATAATTTCAATATTCTTCCGAGAAATTTGGAAATTATCGACAACAATTTCAATTAGTGGATATCCATTAATGGCACGAAAGCACGTCAACCTTTAAGTAAATGGAAATGCCGTGCGTAAGTACAGGTAATACACTCACTACATTGCAGTTAGAAATATACTTAAATACGGAAGCTAAAAGAACTAAGTTACATGTTAACAAACACTAATGAACTTTTCTATCAATTCGTTTTCACAAACATGTCTGACTTCATAGTCTTCATCTCAAACATCTTAGCTCAAACTCTGTCTGCCTACCTCCCCGCCATCTATTAACGATGTTTCAAAACGCTGGTCAAACGTAGAGGGACTGAACGAAATGTGCTCACTATGCCTTGTTTCCCAGAGTTTTCCGTGGCGGGCGGGATGTGAGCAGCCATCTTGGATTTTACTCTTTGAGAAGCCGGTTATCCTTTAAATACGCAAACGATTTGTAGGCAGAAGGCCTGCTCCTCGAGTTTGTTTGATACTTCGTATTACACTTCGTATTTTCATCTTCTGAAGTGTACCAGGATTTGGGCTCGGAATGCATTAGGTATGAATGAAGTCCTGTGCAAAATTTCGTTGTAGTCGAGTTCCCAATGGAAGATATGGCGCAAGTAATGGCGTTTGTCTAGTGTGAAGACTCTGCCGATAACATTATAATACAAGAAGTTGCTTAAATTAGCGTGTTTACGAGGTAGTAGAACTAGAGCGTCTTTGCTCGTTCTGATAATATTACTTTTACCCTATGGTATAGAGCCGTAAAATTGGTTTCTTTAGCCACATTTTAATCACCTGAACTTAAGGTTGGCATTAAATTTGATATTACTTTATTGTTACAAATCGTTCTTCAATGCTTTATATTACTTAGTACTTTGGCCCGTTGCTTGAGGAAGTACAAGCACATGGGAAGAGTCCATGATAAGATGTAGAAGTGGATAATTTTAGTCAAACCTTTTGCAAGCACATGTTTCATGTTATCATTATTGTCTGTGGCTATGTCTGGATAATTATGAATAGGTATGTTATTCCTTACAAATGCATGAAGTGAACGTTCGTGTTCAAAAATTTGCTGATACAAGACATTTTTGGAGTTATGAGTGGATTTTGCGGTGTAATTTCAATGTGAATTGAACCCCACCTTTTGGCAAGATGAGCGTGTTTATTGGTTTTTGTGTTATTGTGCTGCAGGATTCCTTTTCCAAGCTTATGTTGCGAGAGCCTCTTTGAAGACAGCATCCAGCCTCAGAACCCAATCTCATTGGGTCCCAAGAATGGCTCTCCCCAGCCGAGCGCGTGTTTATGCTGATGTAAATTCTCATAAACCTCGGGAATACTGGGATTATGAAGCTTATGTTGTAGATTGGGGGTAAGGCCTCCTTTATTCGACTTCTTATTGCTATGTATGTTTGGAATTTTCTAACTTTTACTTTGTGTAAATTTGTAGCCAACAAGATGACTATCAACTTGTTAGAAAACTTGGCCGAGGGAAATACAGTGAAGTGTTTGAGGCTATCAATATCACAAATAATGAAAAGTGTGTAGTTAAAATTTTAAAGGTATGTGTACCCAAGTTGTGATGTGAATTGTCATTGTAATTTCATTGTATTACTATCACTTAATGTACCATTGGTTTCCAGCCTGTGAAAAAGAAGAAAATAAAGCGAGAAATTAAAATTTTAGAGAATCTCAGAGGTGGAACGAATATAATTACCCTTCAGGCTGTAGTGAAAGATCCAGTTTCAAGAACCCCAGCCCTCATATTTGAGCATGTCAATAATACAGATTTCAAGCAGTTATACCAGACGTTAACAGATTATGACATTCGATATTATTTGTATGAATTACTTAAGGTGAGATTACTTCAGTGGATAGATGTGATTTTTTTTTAAAAATTATTTTTAACTTCATTACTGCTGTTTACTTGCGTAGGCTTTAGATTATTGTCACAGTATGGGTATTATGCATCGTGATGTGAAGCCACATAATGTAATGATTGATCATGAGAATAGAAAGCTTCGCCTTATTGACTGGGGCCTCGCAGAATTTTACCACCCTGGCCAGGAGTATAATGTTCGTGTTGCTTCACGATACTTCAAAGGGCCTGAACTTCTAGTTGATTATCAAGTGAGTTAATTTTTATCCGTTTTGGATGATGTGCATTTATTACTATTTATCATATTTTGAGAATGTGATGTTAATGAATTCTGTATTTCAGATGTACGATTATTCGCTTGATATGTGGTCCTTGGGCTGTATGTTAGCCAGTATGATATTCAGGAAAGAACCATTCTTTCATGGTCATGATAATTATGACCAATTGGTTCGCATAGCTAAAGTGCTGGGCACTGAAGAATTATTCGAATATTTAGAAAAGTATCATATAGAGCTTGATCCTAGGTTTCATGACATTCTTGGGAGGTAATGGATACTCCAAAACTTGTAATATTCTTGTGATTGTTTTAATAATTGTATATTTTCTTAAGCTTCCTGTAATTGCTAATTTTGGTTTTGCCTTTCCAGACATTCTCGAAAGCGATGGGAAAGATTCGTGCACAGTGAAAATCAACATCTGGTCTCCCCTGAAGCATTGGATTTTCTTGATAAGCTTCTGCGATATGATCATTATGAAAGATTTACAGCCCGTGAAGCTATGGATCATGCATATTTTTGTATGTTTTCTCCATTAGTATTCAGTACTGTTATGACACATTGAAGGTAAACTTTCAGTGTGAGGAAATTTCTGAAGTATTTCTAATTTTTATTTATATTTTTTTGCAGATCCAATTGTTAAGGAACAGGGACGTATGAATATGATTTCGTCATCACCTACTCCCATAGCAGGCTCTGGGCCTGTAGGTGAGTAGCATGACAGGTAATGGTGCCCATTCTCACATTTACATTTTTGTAATGTGTGATGTGTATATGTGTGTAGTTCAGTTTGTGAAGTTTTTGTCTGTAGTGGTGAGATTATATGGTGTGAACAGAAAATGGAAGTGGAGAATGGTATCTGGTTATCAAATGCCAGTTGTGTTGAAGCCAGGCTGTTTCAAAGTTGTACTAGTTTAGAGTTGGTGTACATCAAGCACCAGGTACCTTTGTAACACTCCACAACTATCTGTTTGACATCTTGGTTTCACATGCATCACTTTCAAGTTGCAGCATGTTTCAGTAATATTGTAAAAATGTAGTCATATGTAAATATTTGCAGTAAATTGAGTGTTTTATACCAGTCTGTAATATTTGTTATTGTACTCAGTTGTGTAATTTGCAAGAATTGAGGTAATATCAAGTCGTGAAATGTAACGTGTGCCGTGAATGTTCATGAGCTAATAATTCCAAATTCTGCCTGCTTGATTCCTGTGTTTCTTACTTTAAATGCTTTAAACTAATGTGTTCTAATCTTTTAATTGCTCCGTATTGTGTAGGGAAGAGAGACAAGGCTATAGTGTAGCAGAAAACCGTCATGTTTTTGTGAAGACAGTGGAAGGCAGCAGGAAAACCTAAAACATTTCTGAAATCCTGTTAACTGGAAGTGAATCGTTGGATTGTGGATTCCTCTTTTGGGATGTCAAAGTGAAAATTGGCAGTTTTGTTAAGAAAGACTGTGAATTGAATATATTAATGTGAAAGTCACATAAACAAACTGATATTTTGTATTAAAATTGGAAGACTTTTTCACTTCTGTATTCAAAACCTGAAATCTTTATCTTGCTGGTACTGTGAAGATATTTTGATTTAAGACAATGTAATAAAGCTGTGAAAACAGGATGTCAAACCATGTAGTTTGATACTTCTTGCAAATGGGTTGAGGTTTGATATGAAGTTAAAACGCATCTGTGTGATGAGACTTTAGTAAAGGATGTGAACTTCATATCACATGTATTATCAAAAAATATGAAACTAGAAAGCCCTGTTATAGTTGTATAATTATTTAACCATATCAGATGATTACCTCTTGTGTAAGAGGCTGTAGTTGTTTTGACAGTGCTTAAGGTGGCAACTTGTAATGGGGAAAGACATGCTGAAAACAAACTTCAATTATCAATTTACCCTTGTAGATAACATGCTAGTCATGCATTTAAAACATGGTACTTTAGAATTAGGTTTGTTTTTAAAAAAATAGTGTGGGGTAATAGAATTAAATGTTTGGGCCTACAAATTAGTTTGGCCATTTTCTAGGTTTTACGAAAACCAGCTTCAACAGATTCCTGTTAGGTTCCACTTTCAGCACTGTTTTGTTTCTTTTTTTGTAAAATTGGACACAATAATGCTAGGACAACATAAATGCATTGCTCTTCTGAAAAAATGTAAAATTGAGTTTTGTAAAGAGGTTGCTCGGAATGTGACACTAAATTGTAACATTTCTGGGAATTGTTTACTAAATATGTAGTTTTGGAGAACATTGAATGAAATTTTTAAAGAAAGACAGAATGCAGTGTTCAACTAATTTGAACTAGTGCAGCGATTCCCTTATAACTTAAATCTTAGTTTAAAATGTCTTAATATTTGTGGTTTTCAGTTAAATTACCCAAGTGAAATAAGTCCCTGGGAGAAATTCTTACTTCTGGAAGATGCAACTTTTTGGGAACTACTCGCCTAATTGATAAAGGATTGGAAAGAGGCATCATGATTCAAATATTTTTTTGTTACACAGTATTTCATACAATTTTTGAAGAATGGATGCAGAAAGCAATTATATAAGAGGTTCATGGATTGGGGCTCGCTGCAATAGTACAAAATGGATAGTTTTCTTGCAAATGGTACTATTTTAAACTTGTTAAGAGTGATCTTGCTTAATTGTAAAACTAGGTTATCAGCTGTGAGAAAATCTTTCTGGTATTGTTCTTGAAATATAATAAATTGAATTTCCACTTTTTCTGTATTGTGAGCAGAAACCTGAAGTTTTGTTCTGAAACATTTGTGAATAAACGTTAAAAAAAAAAATTTTAACTCTAAACTGGGGTATACTTTATAGTGACATTTCGTATTAGTTTGTTACATTTCTTATATGGCTCTGCAGATTTTGCTTACAGGGATCTGTCTTCCAAAGTACCTTATTATGTAAGGGTGTGTAATAAAACCACCTACCTGTTTCTTGAGAATTGTCATATTCCAAGACATTGCATCAACTGTACAATGAGTCTGGAGATTTCACATTCCATTTCTACCTATTTAAAATAAAAATTGCTACAGAATTTCTGTTGTTTTTTGATGGATTTATCCAGTCTTGTGTGCAAAAGTTTTATGCCTGGTTTCCTTACTAACATGTTAAAAATAATTTTGTGCTTAACTTATTGTAGAGAGCATGCTACAATAAAATTGGAAACCGTTTTAACAACTAATCTTGATAACTGCAATTATTGAAACAAAATAAGTGAACTTGAAATTAATGATTTGAGTTTTCCCTTCTGTTTCAAATGGCAAAAGTACAGAATTATTCTTCCAAACATAGTTTTTAAGCAAATCCTAGGTTGATTCTATTTGAGAATTTTTCCAACAAAAAAAAAAAGGTTTGTTCCTGCTTGAAGGACATACTTTTCTTGTTGCAGTTGGGCCATCCTTATCGGGCAACTCTGTGGTGAGTGGGCTTGTACCCAGCTCTCCAATCATCTCCCCTGGAGCTGTTCCGCTCCCAGCTGGGGCATTGCAGCCCTAAACAACATTCTGATAACAGATAATAGCAAACTTTGCTCATCGTTTCGAGCGTGCTTGTGGGTAACCCAAATTACAGACGCTGACAAACCAAGACAGAGTCTTTGGGAACAGTATTCTATCTCCTTCTGCCTATTTGTTCAACTGTTTTGAAGGAAATGAAATTTCAGTGTTTTCTGTTACCATTTCATGTTAGTATACAAGAAACAATAGATGGAATATGAACTTCGAACATTAAAGAAATTTTTTAAATGATAATCATTCTTGATATGTGCGTTGACTTATTTCAAATTAATTTTTTTTAGATCTTTGTTGTATTTGCATCGTTATACTACGAGTTTCATGTTGGTTTAATTTTTCCACTTATCTTTTATAACTGAGAAGTGAATACAAACAAGATGTAAACATGTTTGTTAATTGCAAAAACTGGCAATATTTTTTCTCCAGTTTCCTGCTGATCATTTCCTCGTTCAGATCTTAGTTTGGTAAAATGTTGAGTGCCTGAGAAATGAAGTGTAACAAATGGAGTGTGTGTTTAGTATAAAGTCTGTTGATTTTTTTCCATGCTGGAACAAAATGTCATACTACATTGAAAAGTTTTAGCAATGTTGATTAACCATTTGCAAAAAACACTTGATGGGCTCATGACTTGTGGTCCTCTGTAATAACATTCGTTGTTTCTACATCCTGCTACATATGGACTTCATTATACATAAATGATATACACAAGGGATGAGTTCTCACAGCAGAAGTGGTTTTAATTCCCTTCACAGTTGCAGCTGTTACTCATTTTATGAACTCTGCCTGCAGCCCTCTTACAAGTTTACCCTTGTCCCTTTATTCTATACGGCATTGACCTTATGTGGTATCCTGCGTTATGTACATTTTGCTACGTAAACATGATGTACATTATGTACATTATGTTAAGGAAAAGCCATCAATATGAGTAAAGGCAAACATTTATATTCATATGAAGTAAAACATTGGCATGAAGTTGAAATTGATAAAATTCAGTGCTTATAACTAATTAGTTGTTCAATATATTGGTTAAGGATAAGCTGCAAAGACATTCTACAAATTGCGTACTGTATTTTGACAATATGTGAATTTTCTGTGCCTAGTGACTAGTTGCAGACTTGAAAATGATATAATTACAGGTTTGCATATTTAAGTTTAAGTGAAAGTGTAAATACATTCTGTGCTTGTTAAAACATTACATTATGTAGTTATGTGCATATTAGTCTGTGTATGAGTGTGTATAAATGCAGTTACCTTGTATTGTTTTTGCAGCTTTTCCTTTGGTGTGTTAGTAACTGCACTGTTTTTTTCTATCATGTGAAAAATTATCTTGTAAGGACAGCTGCTGTAATTGAAAGGGCTGTAATAAACATTTTTCATGTAAAATAGTTGTACCAACTATTTCCTTGTAACTACAGTATTCTAATATATGCTGCAGTTGTGTAAAATGACATGTCTCTTTGACTTTGAAATTTGGATTCATGTTATTTGTACAACAAAATGTAATACTTAGTATGCACATGATATATGTACAATGTAATTACTACTGGAATTCAGATTATACTCGTTAAATATTGTTGTTTTTGTTGTAATGCCCAAAGGGTTCCTTGAAATAGGCACCTCACATAATTATTTCTGTTAGATAGGTGGCTGGAAAAAGGGGCCTTAAGCCAATGAGTGAAATAGCAATATACATTTTTTTCTTTCGGAATTTACAATAGCTTGGATTCGATTATTTGTTAACTTAATTCCAAAGTGTGTTGCCGTAACGAACGCAATGCTTACGCTACTTCGGCTTGCGCTATATGTGTCGCATAGCTCTCGTTTCCGTGTACATCGTGTATCAGAGGAGTCGCGAGCCAAGAGTTCGAAAAGAAACTGGTGGGAAGCACACGATATAGAGGTGGAAAGAAGTATAAGGAATCAAAATAGATTCTCGGAAATGTGGAAAGGGTAAAGAAAGTGGTTGAACAAGGAGGGGTTCAATGCTACACGTTTGGTTCATTTCCAGATAAGTATTTGCCCTCTGTCATACGTAGGGAGTATATTCGACAGCGTTCGAGATACATTATACACTGCGTATACTGCATTGTACTGCAATACTTTCCGCAGCCGAGAAGTTTCCCTGGCACGCGCTAGTTGTGCGGTAGTGTTCGTGCACGTTGATTGTGGAAATTGTACTGTTGCACACTTATGCGGTAAAACAAATATTTACCAAGTGCATCTTGAAATGTTCGAGATTTAATCGTTTGACAATGAACGGTAAGTTTGCACAAGTTGATTCAATTCTTCGCTTCATTTGATACTCTAGGTTAAGTTGTTAATATTTATTATTGACGTATCGTGAGATTGAAATGTTCAAACCTGATTTATTCATTTGGACAAACTTGTAAATACGTTTTCGTCTCGTTTTCAGATTATATGCATCGTGATCATCTCCGTGATCTGTGGCTACAAATTGATAAATTACATCTAAGCTATTTACAAACTGACGAAAATCTGTATAAAATTGAACAGAAACATAAATTGGAAAGTAGGTTTAATAAATTTTACATTTTAACAGTAAATTCAGTGGCGTGATTATTTACGTGATTTTCGAACACTTTTCAGGTTATATTAGAGAATATCTGTGTCTGGCTCCGCATAATCGCAAGTTCTGTTTTCAAGAGACTGCCAATGTGTTGCATCAAAGTGCCACTTCCAAAGAAACCTTTAGTGCTTATCGAGCCGCATCGGCTTGGGATGCCCTCGGTACTTATGCTGCTAATTTATTATCACAACCCTGGAGGAAAGAGTATCGGGTTCTGAAGGTTATATTTTCATAGATATGAAAGTTATTTTCACTGGTTGTTTCGAAGAAATTTATATAATAAACTATAACTCACTGTTGTTGTTATTTTAGATGTATTGTGGATTTTATAAACATGAAATTGAAGCAAATCTTGTTGGTGCAGAAGTAATGTTGGAAGCGATGGGTTATAAACATACAGGCAATACAACAATGGTTCTTGAAGGACCAATTGATCCCGACAGAGTGTCAAATGTATCACGAGATTCTTTGATGGCATCTGTTGAATGCCAGGTAAGAATGAATAGCATAACATAATTTTGAGCGACTGTTAGTTCTGTATTGGCAGCAACAGTTCTTTTTTAACATGCTTATCCTGTTATCCTAAATTCCTGAGTATGTTTAAAAGAAAACCTGCATTTGTTCAAAAATAATTAATTGCTACTATCCTCAATTACAAACCGAAGTTTACTTAGAAATTTCATGCTACAATTAAGGCAGGGATATGGGAAGCTATCTCAAGTTACAGGCGAGACAATTGAAAGTTCAAAAAAAATGTGTAAATCAGATGATTAACAATTAAAGCATATTTATTACACTTAAAGATATTGTATTCATTACTGAATTAAATTACACTACTTCACCAGTGACTTGCCAACCTTTAGCAGAAACAAAAAAGGTAAATATCTCTCTTTTGCTTGTTGAGTGGCTTACCATTGTTCAATCCAAAGGCCCTTGATTACAGAAAGTACATTCTGTTATAAGTACAATTAAAAGTGAACATTTTGATTTACAGTGTTTACATTGCATAATATTGTAGGTTATAACTAATAAATTAGCCGATAGGGATAAAAGAAAAATGTGTTTGGGTGGTTCATTTTAAATCGGAAATTAGTTTTATTGTTATCTGGAAGCTATTTGAAACTGATATTGAGATTATTTGGATCACGAGTGAAAGTAGTTTAGCAGAACAATTTCTTAATGAAAATGTGTTTGTAGTTTGTGTTAAGAAGAAACATTTTAGAATAAAGTAAAACTCTTCAACTTTCTTTTAATATCTTATAATTTTATAACTTAGAGGATGGAGATTATTTGTCAAAATTTTGTTATACAGTATACCTATTTGCTAGTGTGGAAAATAGAGTTGAGGATGTATGATATAAGAGAGGTTCTCAGTAGCGTCTATGTAAATCAGCCCATTAATGACAGGAATCTTTGTTTCTTTACGAGCAGAAGAAAAGGTCAACTATAAGATGTGTTTAGCAAATTTTGCTGGGGACATTTATGGATTTTAGGAAAAATTAGCAGTTGCATAGTTGCCACTTCTTTTTCAGAAACATTTGCTGAGTGTATCTTTGTGATCAGTGAACAATAAATGATAGGTCACTAAAATTCTACCTTATTCCATATTACTGACTGACTCATCACCAATGTTGTTCATGCATCCTTGCTTTACACTCGTCTCTGTTGAATAGTAGAATGTAGAGGAGTAAAATTCATGACAACCTTGGAATTCTACAAATGAGGCTTGCCCAAAATGAGTATGTTCTATTTCATTCATCTTTATTCAGAGTGACCGATTTCTGGAAAAACACAAGGAAATGGATTGTCTCATCAAATGTGCATTTGAGATTTTGTACCCAGGGGAAGGAAAGAATGGTGCATATTGATGCAACACGTTTTAAACTTAATCAGTAGTTGGCAGAAAGAGTGATATTCCTTTTCATAATATACGTGTAGTTATGCATTTGTACTGTGTACAACACAGATGCCAATTCTTACTAATTTCTCTTAACTGTTGTGGTCAATGGTAAAACCATTATGGCGTGCTCTTGATTAAAACTTTTTTTTTTTTTTTTTTGTGGGGTAAATGTTCTAGAGCCTTACTCAAGAGCCACAGATGGCCAAATTTAAGGGAGAGAATACCTATGGGGAATAATATGGGGAAAGTTCAATGAATAGAGATTCGGGCAGTGAATAGAGACCTGGGTTTATTCAGAACAAGGTAAAACCCATCTTTAAACATTTTTATTATTACTCTATATTTTTTCTTCAAGATTTACTGTTTTGTTTGGAAGATGTTACAGGAGAGACAAAGGAAATGATGAACAGAAATGCAACCCAGTCTAATGGAACAAAGAACTCCATAAAAAGTAAAAGAAAAAATATTATTTTCTTCAATGTTTGTAGGAACTGATTAATTCATCTGATTATGTAAGCTTTGACTCTTTGCGTAGGTCCTCTTGAATATTGTGCCAACCACCTACAAAAAAATTCCTTTTAACCACTCTTTCTTGATTTTGTCTTTGTCTTTAAGGTGTCATACTCTTGAGTTTTCTCAACTTTAAATTTCTTTATCAAAACCTTGCCAGAAGTATTGCTATGTTCATGTTCTTCAGTGAGCCTAAATTTCTTACCAAGAGTTGACATTTTCAATTTATTGCCTGACTCGTGAACTCTTGATTAACACGACCCCTGCAACAGCTGTCTAACTGAACAACAGTTAAAGTTAGGAAACACTGAAACCAAAGAACACTGTACAAGAATTGTGGAAGGACTTTGTATCTCCTTCCTTTACACAGGTTTGGGAAGGTCAGTGCTGTTACAAATAAACAGTGGCTTTCACACAAGAAGCATAGGAAATAGTGTTCGGACAAGTGTAGATTAGGAAGCAAATGGACAAGCGCAGGCAGGTCTGAGCATCTTGAAGATATTGCCACACTTGTAAATCATTCTGTAATTTTGAAACTATATTTGTTTTCCATCTTATCCAGAATTTTTCATACTGTCATACTAAAAGCTTCTTTCTGTTTCCGTGAAAGGCTTCTGTGGTGTGCAATGTTCTTTGCATGGGAAAATAGCCCATTCTGAGATTTTTTTCCAGCAAAAGGAAGGTTTTTGTCTTATGTAGGTTCTGCCTTCAACTGATTTTACTGTATAATTACACTGGCTTGTGCTGAAAAAAAAACGTCTTTCAAAGTTTGAAATCCCTTCGGTATTTTTGTATGCTGAAAACTATTATGTAACTAGCAATGCTCCATTGTGCACAGTTTTTTTTTGTAAAGTTGACTTTAATTGTGCAGTAGGCCACTAGCAGTTTTATTTATTTAGCATACAGTTTAGTGATGCCATCTATGAACTGTTAATAGAATTTGCAGTTTTCCTCAAGGTGCCAATATGAACCTTTTCACTCATGTCATCTAAAAATTGGTGATATGTCTCCATTTTCCTTCCACATGGCAGCATGTACTCGTTTGTAGTATGAGATGGGGTTCTAAACCACTGACAACCAAGATAGATGCACAAAGGAATTGGATAATTGGTGACTTTTCATAGTTCTTAAAAAAAGTTTAAAAACAGAGCTATTACACAAAGGCAAAGAGTATGCTTCAATACCTACAGAGCATTCATTTCGCCTCAAAGAAACTTACGAAAATTTTGTGCTGATCCTTATTAAAGTACAACAATCGTGGCTGGTTGATATGTGGAAACCTGAAGATTTTGTGTGTGCTTCTTGGACAACAATATACAAATTTCCTATGTTTCCTTTGTGAACAGGACAGCCATGTGAGAGTGAACCAATGGAACCTGTGAGAATGATCCCCAAAAAACTACTTCAGATCCACGAAGTAAGAATATTTTAAGGAAAGGTCAAAGAAAATACTGCTACCACCTTGCATAGAAAATTAGGACTCTTGAAACAGTTAACTATAGCTCTACTAGTAAATGGGACATGCTTTAAACATCTCTGTGGTATGTTCCCATACATCTTAGAAGCCAAGACGAAGGACGGAATTTTCATTGGACACAATCTTATGTAATCTTTTGTAAACTTATCTTAATCTTATGTATATTTTTCTTATCACAATCTTGTTAGGTGAATTTACCACAACAGTCACAGATGCTTTAAAAAAAAAAAAGAGAGAGAGCTTGGATTTCCATTTAAAAAGTGGTTAAGAACTTTCTAGGAAACAAGAAAGACCCGATTTATGCAATCAATAGTTAAAAATATGCTGAAGAGCTTTAAAGATTTGGGATGTTGAATGAAATGCAAGATTCACTTCCTTGAGGCACGTTTGAATTTCTTTCCTGAAAATCTTGGTGCAATCAGCGAGGAGCAAGGAGAACATTTATACAAAGATATTAAGGAGATGGAAAAGATATCAGGGTCAATAGAATGTGAACACAATGGGTGACAACTGCTGGATGCTCTACCGAAACACATCATGGGGCATACTTAAGAGGAAAAGTAATACTCAGCTTTACAAAGAAAAAAAAGAGCTCGGATATGAAATCAGCACCGCAAAACTACATATTTTGTTAAAATTTTGTAAAAAGTTTTTGTCCTTTAAATTTGCGAGCCTGTTATTATTCAGTATTTTTTGAACTAAACTATATTTAAGGTCTTGTTGAATCACTCATAATATGTACCATAAAAACAATAATAATAATAATAATAATAATAAGATAAATATTTACTTTAAATTTAGCGTGATTTTAAAAGTTACGTTAGTAGGATAGGTCTCTAGTGCTTCTGTATTTAAGTTTAAATGATGTAAGATAATTTATATATACATTTACTTTTCTGTTGCCCAATTTGAAAAGTTAGTGCCTTCTAAGCAGTCTTATAGTAGGGAAATTCTCCTTCAGAATATAATTTAACGACATTTTCCTTGTTTTTGTTATTCTTTGGGAACTGAATCCTTTTTGCAGGTTTTGCTGTAAATGTTAAGACTGTTTGCTACACAAATCCTTAAATGCAAGTTTGTTGTATCATTTCTTGTAATAGCTGGAAGTAAATAGCTGATTGCAACATATAGATATAGGAACTTTCTAACTTATATCCAGGAGCCATATGTCATATTAGGTTGTTGGATGTACTTAGGATGTTTACTTTACTTCTTTTTTACAAAATAGTTTTGAGAATTTTTGCATTTCTAATCTTAACTTATCTTCTGCCTTCTATTTTTTTCTCAATACCATGTACAAGAATCCTTAAAAATCTATAATGTGAGGTACAGATTTGTAATAATTTTGAAGACCAGAATTTGGCAGGTAATGGACAAGGTTGTTTTGAGATGTGAAGAAAGTTAATGACCTTGCTGTATTAAAATTTGCATTAATGCATGTGAAGTGTTAACATAATTTTAATTATGTTTGAGACATAGAATAGTCATCAGGAAGATAAATTTATTTCTTACTTGTAGAGTTTTGTGTCCTAATTTAAAGGTCGATAGTTGTAACTAACAATTTTTGTACTTAACAAGAGGAGAGAGATTTTTATTATTATTAAAAAAAGCTGAAATGGGTGCTAATAAAGTTGGGGTAGACTACTGTATACCTTTAAATTTAATTTCTTTCTTGTTGTGATTTTTATATAAAAAATGTAATAATCACAGACTCTTTGGCCTCTGAGATAGAGATATTGTCATTAAAGTACTGTAGTATTATTAATAGTTAAACTATTGTATTTAAAGTTACTTCAACAATTCAAAGAGATTGAGGCAATAAAATTTGAGGAAATCGCTCCTATGAAGTTAGACTTGCTTTATAGGAACTTGTGCGGAGATTCAATTCTATCTTAATTATTGCAATTCATTGATTCTATGTTCATGTATACTTTTGTATTTTTATCTCATAAATATCTGTAATTCTGTGCAGTTATTGAAGGTGATCTGGGAAGAAGTGTCCCGTCGATTTCAGTGTCACTGGTTGGATGTTTTGGAATTTCGTGAAAATCATATCTGCTCCCCTGAGAATGCTGTGAAGGGACTTATGTATCAGTTTCATCAACGTGAATATCAAGAACAACACCATCAAATGGCGATGTATCATCATCAAATACCAACAACTGATACTTATGGTACATCTCGATTCCATCATCCTGGTCAGGCCTGCTTATACGGACAAATTTCACCAACTGTGGCCACAGTTCCACATATGGGTTATTATAATTATTCCCCTTATGCAATGGGAGCACCCCATCCCTATACTTTGCAGTCACAGCCTAGGTATGGCTCTATAATAAGTCCACAGCAGCCAATGATGTCGTGCCCAATGCCTGCACCAGCTCATCCACATTACTTCCCAGCACCTATGCAACCTGTATTGAAATCACAAGAAGTTTATCCTCCTAATGGACATGCGACAATGGAACAGTTCCAAACCCCAGTGCCAGTGCCTCCTCAACCACCAGTTCCTACACAAGCAGTTCAAATGTCATTGCAAAATGGTTATGCACTTCAAAGTCAAATAAATCCAGTTCAAGCAACAGGTCAGAATTATGGTTGTCTTGTCCCTACTGCTCAGTTAATTGAATTGGATGCTGTTCCAGCTGGGAATAATGACATGCAGCAGACACATTCTGCTACTGACTCATCAAGTTCAGTTTTAATTCCACGTACAATTCGCCAACATCAAAATCACCAGTCAAAGAAAGTTCATGATAAACAAGATGTATATGCTAAGCATGCTGAAAATCCACCAGTGTCTAATTATTTATCGGACTCCTCAAAAACAGAACAGACATCTCGAAGAAGTAAAGATGAAGGGACTGGAACATTTGAAAGTTGGGATTATGTATTTAGAAATTTAGAAAGTCAAGGTTATAATAAGGATTTAGGTGAACGTCCAGATATATTATCTCCTGTTGACAATGCTAACGCTAATTCTAAAAATATAGGTGATAGGGGATTCAGAAATAAGGAAACAGAGGCTCTAGCTTTAGAAGATGCATTAATGGAAATGCGCTTGGAAGAGATGCAGAGGAAAATGAAAGGGGAACCTTCTGAACATCGTACATTGAAAATTAACGAAGCTCTTCAAAAAATGAAATTAGATACCGATACTGATATAATGCGGACCAAACATCAAATTACTAGTGAACCAGTAGGCAGTAGTGTCAGTGTTTATGACAATTTGTCTTCTCCCCCTAAAGAAATAAGTTCTGTTCAAAGACCTCGCATCTCAGCAGCAGATACTGCAAAGAGTACCTCAATAGCTACCAAAACAAGTACTAAAACACTACCCAGAGAACCAAAAAAGCATGAAAATAAAAGATTAACTAATAATCCCCACTTCACATCTGCTACCTTAGATCCTCGTCAGCTGACAGAAAGAAATAACTTGGGTCTAAGTAGTACAAATGCCGCTGAGAAAAGTGATGGACTAGGTCATGAGAAAACTGTGAGGAGAAATTCTGTTCATAAAAATAGAAATTGTGACTCTGAGAAACTAGAAGGTTCAGAGGAATTAGCAAAGTTTGATGATAAAAATATTGGAAAGTGGGAATGCGTGACGTGCACATATCACAATGATGCAGCTCGTGATATATGTGAAATGTGTGGCAAGTCAAAGGTACGGGGTTCTGAGGCTCGTCCTTTGGCTAGTGGAGGCCGGGAATGCCCACAATGCACTTTGGTGAATGAAAAAGATGTTGGTACTTGTGTAGCTTGTGATTGTAGCTTAAAAGATTCTCCAACATATATTTAAACTTTTGTACTTAATTCACAATTTCAGATTTGTCATTGTGTGACACTTTGATCTTAAGGCTGTATTTCCTTTAGGGATGTTATTTTATTTGCTATTGAATGTTTTTGTTAATTTATTTTTTGCAAGAGGATACAAATACACCTTTGCATGAATAGATTTTACTAATGTGCTTCTAGTCAGAGTAAAAATACATATTTGAACATATTTTACTTAGTATTGTTTCATATTGCTTGTGAATCTGTATTTCATAATGTTAGATACGAATTCAAAACATTAATTTATGAAATTAGTTTAATGTAAATATTTTGAAATAGTGTATTTTCATTCATTATATAGCAAGGCTGGTTAAAATTTGAAATGTTAATTACCGATGAGATGAAGAGCAAAGTCAAAGTAGCACTTAATACAACGTGCAGGTTGTATTGACAGATTGCTTTTTTGTCTCTTACAAGCCACGTTACAAGAGATGTTTCTAAAAGTTTTGTAATTATAAAATTTTAATTATTAGTGAAATAAATCATAGTGTTGTTTATAGTTTTATAATTCACTTTATGGAGTGAAGTATTAAAATTATCCCCTTTGCCAAAATTAACTTTCTACAAGACTAAATATATAATTATTGACTTCAGTATGAAAGCTCTTTTACTCAATTTTTGAAAAATATTTGTGCAATATAATGTGAAGTACTAAAAGTATATATTACAGAGGACAATTATAATATTCTGTATGATGAAGTCTTTTTTTATAAATAATGGAACTGAGTTCAGCAGTATACTCACCACGAGACACATCATGCTATAGATGTGTTTATACCAGAAGTTGAATGAAACTCTCCCCCCCCCCTCTAAATACATTAATTGTTTGTGAAGAATAATGCCTAAAACGTTAAATGAAGATAAATAATTAGTGCAGAAAAGAAACTGTTTCTTGTAGGTTTTATCTAACACTGTTTTCTTTATGCATCAGTATTAGTTTCTGCATAACTTTTGCTTATTTGTTCTGTCTTTTATATGTTTAATTGTTAAATAAAGGTTTAATTGTTTGTGTCTGAAAATTTGAACACATTTTCCTTGGTTAGATTTCATAACAATTTACTAACAGCAACTAAAAAAAAAAAGAAAACTGGTCAAAAATTGAGGTAGAAAATATTTAGATGTTTTGTTATCTGTGGAGACTGCAAAAGGTTAAAAGTTGTAAACAGTATGTGTTTCGGACAAGATTGTAAAATATTTTCTAATAAACTGTCTCCTTCTTCAATATTTGAGTTTGATGTATCATTCATACTGCCCGTTGTGTTAAGGTAATGTGATACTTTTCCTTTGCTGCAGAAATTCGTGAATTTATTCTTTTTTGTACTGAATCTATTGATTTTTGTGTATTGGTTTTGTTAAATAATATAACTTTTCAGCAACTTATTTGTAATTGAATCAAGGGAAAGAAAACTATTATTTTCTTGTTTTAAATTATTTATTCTCAGTTAATGAAAAAATGTGGAATATTTTATATTAGTAATTACCATTGATTTAACATTTTCCCCCATAATTTGTTTTTTACAATAGTTTAGATAATCTTTTAACAGTTTTGATGCGTTATATAACTTCTAAAGCTTGCATGAAGAAAATTTTGTTTTAATGATCTTGACATTTCATTATTGAATTAGTTTATGTTGAGTTGCATTATTACTTTTATGCTACTTCAGTTTGTTCAGAACTCTTGTGTTTGGTACCAAATATTATTGACCACGATGTTTGAATCGTCAGGATTTCTCAATTTCAGGAGTTAGCAAGTATTTTAAGTATTAAATATAATGAAAGCATTCTTGGCCATCTTTTGTCTTAGTATTTATTCTGATGCAATAAATTCTTTGTATGCATGCTACAAATTAATTGTGGAAAAGAAACTTTAATTTCAAATTTATTGTTTTTAAATAATTCAAACTCTATCCGAATTATAGCTTAGTAGATCATTATCATTGATGGAATAATGTACAGTCGGAGTTGGATTGTTGGGCAGGAATCACTGTGTATCTGTATTTGTGTATATTATATTTTTGTAATATTAACTGAGATTGGACTGTAAATGTTTTATACAAAGATGTTATTTGTAACCTACAATGTGTAACATTGTAAAAAGTTTGAATATATTGTTTGTTTAATGAAACATAAAATATGTACTTTATTTCACACATGTTTTTCCATACTTTCACAATTTCATTTTTCATTTCTGTAAATTATTGAAAAAACTTGTGAGTTAATAAAGAATTAATTTTATTCATTTATAAAATTAATTCATAAATTGCAGCCACTCTTGCTCACACGGCCTCAATTAATCTTGTATCAGAAGAGTTTTGAAGTTCTGTGTATGTGTGCCACAAATTAATTGGGGGTTGTTAAAAATACAGAATTAATGGATATGCATCAAAATAAATTAGATTTTAAAAGTGCACAATGGGGTTAAAAGATCTTCGAAGTGCACAATGGTTTTAAAGCCACAATTTATTAACTTGAAGTCTCTTTAGCTATTTTGATATGAATAAGTTGTCCAGTTATTTGTTGGAATTAGAAAAACGAACTGGACTCGTGCATTCATTCTGCATTTCATAAATTGATTCTTTTAAATGTGAAAATAGTTTCATTCTGGAACTAATCTTCAAATGGTCGCTCTCTTGTCAAAATTAACTTTCTATAAGGCTAAAAAGATTATTATTGACTTATGATTTATATTGACGTATGAAAGCTCATTGACTCGATTTCAAAAAAGAAAAAAAAGGGCCTTGAGTCATCTGTCTATTGGCTTTTACATAGATTTTGAGTTACTGCTCGTCTTTGACCTCCTATGGAGTAGAGGTTCCTAGAAGAACTAAATCTTGAGAGTCACAGTAGAAGGTTAAAAAGGTCTCATTTTGCCCCCATGTCACCTGCCATTGTCTCAATCATCCCCTGCATGCCCTCTAAAACTTTCATGTCCCTTCAAAAGTCATAAAGCCTGGATTTGTGGATCTATGGCACATCATTTCTGAATTATGCATGATGTTAATGTGTGTTGCAGTAATGATCTCCAAAACTTCTTCTGCTTCTACTTCCATTTCTCTACTTTCTCTATCGTCTTCTTTTTGTTATAAATATGTGTAATACAGGACTGGGATTAATTTCTTATCCAACAGTAGCACACTTACTAAATTTATGTTACTGGTTTCTTATAAATTATCATAATCTGTATTGTTAGAATATTTATTTTAGAGAGGATTCTTATAGAATAATTCATTCACCATTGTGTGGATTTGTACTTACGGCTGATGTGAAGAGGGGGTTGTCCCTCTCCCATAGTTATACTAGGGAGTCACCATTTTCCACATTTGTTGTGGCAAAGTACATTTACAACAGGTTTTCATCAGATACTTTCTAAAGCCAGCTTTGTCTCCCAGCCTTTTATTTTTCTTTCAATTTCTTACTTTTATGCTAGGATATCTCTGTAAACACCAGTAATGGGGTTGAAAGATTGTTGATTTTACACTTCCTAAAAGAATGACTTATTACATATTATAGTTATAATTGATTTTTATTGCCAGCTGTTCAAAATTAAATTTCAGGAAAAGACAAAAATGAGATCTTTTGTGCTCATCAAATATTTATTTGATACGATACAATACAATACAATACAAGCAAACACCCAATTATAATTAGAACATTAATTTATATGTAATGTGAAAAACTGATTTTGAATTATTTCAAGTATTGATAATCATTTAATTATTTAAATCAATCACAGATGGAACACTAAATAGTACAGTTCCGGTAAATTGCCGTCCATGCACGAATTTCACCCAAGGAAGTTTAGTACGCCATGTTAGAGAATCTATAAACTTATTTACCAACTTAAGCAGAGAAAGAAAATTCATAGTATTCCCTGTAAGAGTGAACTGAGCTTATATTCAGATTAGCTGCAGTATGATAGTAATCATAAGTTAACCTAGAGGATGGAATACAAAGTTGATGAGCAACAAAATTTTAAAAAATTATGCTGATCAGTTTCAAGTCTAGAGATGTGGATTTGATAAGCAGGAGACCCAATCTGTGAAGCGTATAGCAAAATAGGTCTCTCCAAGGTAAGGTATTAAGATTTTGCACATTAGTGAAGTCTGACGATATGCATCTTACACAGCCCAACATTCAATTAGCTTTATTAACAATATAATCAAAATGAAGATGGAATCTGAGTTAACTGTAAAAAGTCACCCACAAATCTCTAACTTGTGAAACTGTTTCCAAAGAAGTATCACCTATTTTGTAATCAAATGTTATTTTATCAGTAAATGTAGTAAATGACATTGACTTATGTTTATTTACAGTTAGTTTAAGACCTTTCAGAAGGCAATATTGGAAAAATTTATTTAATGCAGTTTGAAGATCAAAGCAATCATGGAGGGAGTTAATGATTTCATAAATTTTTAAATCTTTAACAAAAAATAAAAAGTTTGAACTTTAGAGAATAACCTGAGGTCATTAACAAAAATTATAAAAAGGAAGGGCCCTAGGTGGGAGCCTTGAGGAACACTAGAAGTGACAAATATTCTGGACTGGAAGAAACGTAGGATTTATATGTCACATTTTGTGTTCTACCTGTCAAATAGCTACGAAACCATTTCAAGAAGGAACTGTAAAACCTAATTTTTCCAAAGCATTGAGCACGAGACGATTGCTAATGGTATCAAAAGTTTTTGAGAAAAAAAAAATCTAAATCAATCTGTTTTTTCAATTTTACATTTTCAACCAAAAAATGTGTATAGATAATAAATAACATTCATTTTCCTAAATCCTCATTATGTATTTTATTTTGCTACCAATTTTTGTATTAACTTGAAAACAAAACCTGAATCTCCTTACACTGTTTAAATTAAGATGTGGGTATCTCCTTCAAAGTAATCCAAATTTCATGAAATTTTCTATTCTGATAATTGGTAGCAATTTGTAATGCATGTACGCATTGTAGTGTAAGTGATACACAATTGTCACAAGACGTGATAAGTTGAGGATTCCGTTTTAGATTATTTCTGAAACAAATTACAATTTTCTGTCTTTTGCAAGAACGTATATCTGCAAATACATAGACTATTAAGTTAAACTTGCAGTTTTCTGTCATCCCTGCTAACAATTATTAAAAAATCATCTATTAGCTTGATTCAAGCATAAACTTCTCACATTATAAGATGAGCTGCTTATCAGCAGTAATGATACTAATAAGCAGTACAGTTTTTATTAGTAGTTTCCCAAATATTTTCTTGAGTGTATATTCCAATCTGATTTTCCTCTTGCTCATCTAATTACTATCTCTTCCCTGTATCTGAATGTGTTTTGACGGGAATAGACCTTTTGATATTCCTGGTCCTCAAGTTAATTTGTGGCCTCTGATGGTAATTATGATGCACACAGAATTATCATGTGTAATTACTGATGATGTGATAAACATGGCAGGTGGTCAAATAGCACTGAAGGTAGGGAGGACTATTTAAAGGCCTCAATAATGATTTTTGTGCAAGTTACTGTTCACCAAAGAGCATAAGTGAGAATTCATTAGCATTAGTCCCTGACTAGTGTTGTGTTCAGATATGTAAATTCATTTCTCATTTTTCTAAATAAAAAAATTGGGGTTAGGTTCTGTGAATATTGAAGTAATTGTAAATTAGAAACATGTATAAATCATTAGTGTGCTTTATTTTGATTTCTTTGGACTTGACTGCAAAACCACACCTGTTATTGAGGAGTAAAGAAATCACCCTTCAAAATTCGGCTTTGGATATGATAAGCATTCTCCATATGTTAAATAAAACTCACTGTATTTCAGTTGTGTGTACACAGAAGAACTGGCGTGTGTTAGATATTCTTGAAGAATTGATGCTTGTGGCAAATTATAATTTGGAAGCACCTGTGTACATATCTTCTCAGACAAGCCCAAATGCCTCTGCCACTAATGTAAAAGGCCTGATACCTGAAACACCACAGGTATTATTGGTGATTGCAGAATATGAAGATCTACTTTCAAGTATTTGGAGTACACTTTTCATGTACTCTAAGTTTAATGGTAGAACATTTGTTGTGATTTTCATACTCTCTGAATCAAATGATGCATGTAAACATGTAGAACAATGGAAATACTTGCATCTGCTTCAGCATCTTTGGAACGAATTTGAACTACTTCATGTTATTATTTTTCATAAATTATTTAATTGTGATGTGCAAAACAATTTTTTTGTTTATAACCCTTTTTCTTTAAAAGTGTATTATTTTTCAAAATTCTCCGATATTAAGAATTTTATATCTGGAAGACAAACGAAGATTTTAAATCTTCATCATTATCCTCTAATAATGTCAGTATTTCAGCGTATGCCATCTGCATTACTACATGAGAGGATTCCTAATTCCTTTTGCTACAGTTATGTAGATGGAATGGATGGGCAAATTTTAAATATAGTGTCACAGTACCTAAATTTCACTCCAGAAATATGTGAACCACAAGATAATCTAGAATTTGGTTATTTAGATGAAAATGGAAGTTACACAGGCTCTCTTGGTGATGTCATATACAAAAAGGCAGACATCTCTTTTAACTCTCGTTTTATTAAGGGCTATGATTCAGATGGTATTGAGTTCACATTTCCTGTTACTTCTGATTACCTTTGCATAGTTGTTCCTAAAGCATCTCGCATACCGAAGTGGCTAACAATATCTCTGACACTAACAGCTACTGTAAAAACATTTGTAATATTAACTTTCATATTATCTTTTGTATTTTTGATAGTGTTGAAAAAGACATACTTCAAATTTTCTAAGTCTGTCAAAAAATTAAATTATGCCACCATTTTCTTTGATGTGATGCGTATATTCATAACAAGCCCAGTGGTTCAATTGCCAGAAACTGTATCACAAAGAATATTCACTGCATCCTGTTTGTTTTTCAGTTTAGTACTTGTAAGTGCTTTTCAAGGACAGGTTGTCACAGTGATTAGTAAACCTTCATACTACAAAGATATAAATACTCTCCAAAATTTGGAACAGTCAGGACTGAGTATTGGAGTAGGTTCAATGAATCTTAAAGATACTTTTCCAGTTATTAATGATCCAATAATGGAAAAATTAAATAAAAAAATTATATTTATTGAGGGAGGTAATTTAACAGAAGGAATT